CATACCCTCCAACTTATGAAGATTTTGAAAATAATTCTTTCTAGTGGTAGCGAACCAAAGTAGAAATTTTTAAAGCAAATGGATCTCTCATAAAACTTTTATCAGAACTTAAGAATCTAGCCATATGGCCTGCACTTTTATAAGTAATAGTGGACAAGTTACGCTAAAATTAATTTTTTTTAAATATTAAGACATTAATTTTGCTTCCGTCTGAAAAGAAGATTTCTGAAACTACGGAAATTCCGTAGCAGTTGGAGGGTATGTCTTACATGCATACTTGCACATAAATAAACGTCTTATGACGCAAAAAAACATTGTGAGCATTCATGAACAAGAAAGTTCTCTATCTAATCAGAAAGTGGATAAAAAAAAATTTGACTTCAATACTTCACTGTTCATAGACACGAAATTGATTAATGGGAACGCGGGAATGATAATAATGTTTGTTTTAAAAAATATTAAATAACACAATTTTTAATATGATAGCGTACAATATAAATTAATTAAGCGTTGTTAACTCCGAAAAAACAGTCGTTAGGGTGGCAAATAATATTTAATAATTCATTACACAAGCTCTAATAAATTTTCGCTTCAAGAGTTAATTTTCCGAGAATAACGTAGCCGTATATTTCTAAAAACTTTAAACGTTTCAAAGTAATAAATAAAATGTAAAAAGACAAAATATTTTTGCATAATATGTATGCATTAAAGTAAAATTAGAAATAAAATTATAATACTTTAGAAACTAACTAACAGGCTTGGTGCAAACATAGAGTTTCACATTAAAGTAAAATAGGATTTAAAATTATAAAATTTTAGAAACTAACTAACAGGCTTGGTACAAACATAGAGTATCACATTAAAGTAAAATAAGAAATAAAACTATAGAACTTTAGAAACTAACTAACAGGCTTAGTACAAACATAGAGTATCACATTAAAGTAAAATAAGATTTAAAATTATAAAACTTTAGAAACTAACTAACTGGCTTGGTACAAGCATAGAGCAGCACATTAAAGCAAAATAAGGAAAAAGATATAAAACTTTAGAAACTAACTTACAGGGTTGGTACAAACATAGAGTAGCACATTATATTAAAATAAGATATTAAATTATAAAACTTTAAAAACTAACTTACATGTTTGGTATAAACATAGAGTAGCAAACAAAAGAATAGAGACGAAGCCCCACATATTTCTAAGATAAATTCGATAGAAATTGAAAAGTCAGAATTCAATTCTCAAACAACATTAGCGGTCTTATATGAAGCGTCTTATCTTCAATGAATTTCATTATACTTCATATTTTTGCCCGGTTTTAAGAATGATAAGGACATTTCAAGATTTACCTGTTCAAAAAGATAAGATATTCTGGGAATTCTTTTTTTTTTATCTAAATGCATTTGTTATACAAACTGCAAAAAAGGATGCGTTTCCAATGTTAGAGATAGAAATCGGGATATCCCAGAGTTTATTATTTGTTTGGCACTTAAAAATAGGAATTATATCCTGAATCTCGAATCGTTATTTTCACTTTATCGTTTTGTAAATATTATCACTTAAAGTATCAGTATGTGTTTATTTGTTGCACAATCAATGCTGAAACACTTGATTCTACTTTAAGTTTAACTCTTAGTACTCTGAATATTTTAAACATGCTAATGAGGAAAAAAAATTAAGAGCGAATTAATTTTTTATATAATAATTTACGAATTTAAGAAGGCCAGCCAGAAGGAAAAATAAGAAATGTCCACCATAATGTCCAAAGATCGTTGAGATAGTAAAAAGGATCGTAAAAGAATACAAATAATCTTTGAAATATTAAAATAAAAAGTATAGATGCAATTATATTTATGTTATATTACGAGATATTTTATAATTATAAAGATTTTCCGGTTTTAATAGCTTTTCTATTATTTCTGGAAAAAAACACTCTAATTTTTAAAGAAAAAAAAACACTCTAATTTTTAAAGAAAAAAAACACAGTCCACTTGCATTGTTGCACTTTGCACAGTTGCACTTGCATTTAACCAGGGCGCTTCATTCAATGTTATTTTTCAGAACAATTGTTAATTCAGTACAAAAAAAGAGGTTCTGGTGATATATTTCTGGTTTTAAAAGTTAAAAGAAAAAAATAGTGCGTGGAGTCCCTCCGCGCGGAAGAAATGAAATTTCATAATGTGGAAATGAAAATAGGAAGGGGTAGAAATTGATTTTTAGTGAAATCATATTGTTTCTTTAAGACAAACTTTATTAACAATGCTTACAATTCACAATTGATCGCATCTTTTAATTATCATTTTCGAGTGGAGAAATATCCAAATCTATAACAT